CATTAATTAAGGCATGTATGCAAATTTCTATTTTTCATCATCTTATGCCCTTTCATTGTTTAATAAAAGTATGGGAAAATTCTATGTTTCAGCGATTCTTCTTTGATTTCTTCTCAGCCCTAACTTCAAAATAACTTTGGGCCGGGCGCTGGTGGCTCACACCTGTAATCCTAGCTACGCAGGAGGCTGAGATCTGAGGATCGCGGTTCAAAGCCAGCCCGGGCAAGAGAGACCGTGAGACTCCTATCTCCAATAAACCACCGGAAAACCGGAAGTGGCGCTGTAGCTCAAGTGGTAGAGCGCTCGCCTTGAGCTGAAGAGCTGAGGGACAGCGCCCAGGCCCAGAGTTCAAGCCCCACAACCGACCAAAAGAAAATTTAAAAATAAAAAAAAATAACTTTGGAAGGAATAGCACAGTTGTCAAAGTAAATGCAATTCTTGAATCTTCGGAATTCTCTAGGTTCTTCTTATGCCTGTTGACAGTCTCACAAGGCATCATCTGTATGTGCAAAGACTCAAGTTTTCTGTACCTGACCTATTCAAATCTGCTTTGAGTAACTGAAGTTAAAGTGCAGTAGCTCCTCAGAAACTGCTTGCTGCACATGCAATCACTTTCTGTTCTGTCTTAGGAGGTTTGGGGTGCTCTTGTTAATTCTCAGAATTTTGCAAAACCCAGGTACACATCCACTTAGCCAGAGACCTCCTTCCCAAGGGTTTCTGGGTATGCTTCCTTTAAATGGTTTTCCTTATAGCCCATGTCAACCTGCCTGGCTGCTTGCTGTTGGATCCCCTTCTGGTCTCAGTTCTCTTTTTACCTGCTGAGAGCTTGACTTTATATAAATGTGTGCTCATCCATAAAACCATTGCTATGGTATTGTGAATTTCTTAAAGTAATCCTTCCTCTTGCTCTCGGTCACTGATGTTTCTTTTACATCTGTTACTACAGTTCCCAAAAGTCCCTCATATTATGTTTTTTAAAAAATTTTAGCTGGAAGCCAGGTGCTGGTGGCTCATGCCTGTAATCCTAGCTACTCAGGAGGCTGATATCTGAGGATCGTGGTTCAAAGCCAGCCCGGGCAGGAGAGACCATGAGACTCCTACCTCCAATAAACCACCAGAAAACCAGAAGTGGCTCTGTGGCTCAAGTGGTAGAGCGCTAGCCTTGAGCTGAAGAGCTGAAGGACAGCACCCAGGGCCAGAGTTCAAGCCCCACGACCTTCCAAAAACAAAAATTTAGCTGGGAACTGGTGACTCATCCCTGTATTCCTAGCTACTCATGGAGCTGAGATATAAAGATTGAGGTATGAAGCCTAGGCAGGAAAGTCTGTGAAATGCCTGTCTCCAAAACTCTACCCAAAAAAAGTCTGAAGTGGAAGTGTACTTCAGTGATAGAGTGCTAACTTTGAGCAGAAAATTGCAGTGACAGCACCCAGCCTGAGTTCAAGTCCCAGAACAAACACAATAAATCTATGCATTTATACATACATACATACATACATAAATGCCTTAAAACATAGCTTATTTTATTCTTTTGTTGCTGTTGTTTGTCGTGGGGCTTGAACTCAGGGCCTGGTTGCTGCCCCTGAACTGTTTTGCTCAAGGCTAGAGCTCCACTCCTTTGAGCCATAGCACCCCTTCTCATTTTCTGGTGGTTAATCTTAGCTACACCCGATATTGAGTGTGAGCCATCAGCACCCAGCTATTTTTTTATTCTTTCTTATAGGAAGCACATTGGTTAATCCTTTTGCATTCACTTTGAATGTAGGGTTTTCATAATCATATTTAGAAAAATCTCATAAATTGTAAGGTTACCATCCATTTATTTTGCATCTCTTTTGGAAGACCAGAGTGGATGAGGGAGCTGGTCTTGGAGCTTGAACACACAGCCTGAGCACTGTCCCTGAGCTTTTTGTTCAAGGCTAGTGCCACAGCTCCATTTTTACCTTTTTTGGTGGTTAATTGGAAATAAGAGTCTTTTGGACTTTCCTGCCTGGGCTGTTACCTTGCATTTATTACAGCTGTGCTTCTCTTACCCTGTACTTTCAGAAAATAATCAACTCTTGATTTGTTTTTTTTAAGAAAATGAATATGGTTTTTTGCATATTAGAAAAAGACTCTTCACTTTTCTCCCAAGCTAGGAGTGGCATGTATCACATAATCTGTAGATTTTTCTATAGTATGCAAAACTTTTCTAGCAGTAGTAAATGATTGCAGTAGTTTCAATTCCATTGGAATTTGGAGGCTCACAAAGATTCTTGGCATTTAGACTGCATGATTGGAATGCTCAGTGAATCATCCCTTTGTGGTTTGCCAGAAAGCTTGTCTTTCACTTGCCTTCTTGCATTCTTGACCAATCAGAACTAGGTGAGTCATCTTCCCCTCCTGCCTAGGAAGGACAGATTCACTTTCAAGTTGAATAGTTTATTTAGAATTTTACTTGTCTAGTCTTCATAGTTTGTGTTCCTGATTAACCAATTCAAAGCTACTCTAATGAGAGTGTATATATGGAAGGAATAAAAGGGGAAATAAACATGCCATTCCTGCTTTCTACAGTTAAAATATAATCTTGCTGACCTGTAAGGGAAAAACGTCATATTTTATATAAAATAGTTACTATAATGTTAAATAGACAGTTCTTAAAATGCACAAGAAAATTTAACATGGCTTATAAAAGTTTAGGATTCTTGTAAAAGTAATCATGATAGTTATTGAGCTCAATATATGGTTTAATAAAGGGTGTTTAAGTGGGAGTTATCTATCCAAATGAATAATTTGAAGCAAAATTGCACATACCTATTTTCCTACTATTCTTAAACCTAGAAAACCCACTGGATGTGGTGAGACACATCTGTAATCCAGCTTTTAAGAGGCTGAGATAGGAGGATTACAAATTTGAATCCAACTTGGATTATATAACAAGACCACCTCTCAAATAAGTAGGAAATTCCACTTTGGCTCCACCAACCAGCACACAGGGCATCACCCTAATTTCCCAGGTCTCCTTTAGTCTTTGTAAACTACTAATCCAGAAATTCAGTTGCTACTATTGAAGTATAGATATACATTGTAAATACTTGAAGTCATAATGTGTTCAAGAATTTTCTCTGAACATTTTCATCTCTTAATTCAGCATTGAAACAAAAAAAAACAAATATCGACTGGCTTTTTGTTGTTTCTTTTTATGAAAATGGAGCAATGTGTCATAACAACTGGTAGTGACTGTGAACCCATGGCTTTTAGGGAATATATACATTGAATGTATACAGCCTCTGTAGCTGTAATCCTGAAACAAAACATGCTGTGAGATTAAAAGCCTGGGGATATTATGTGAATATACTTTAAACTTCTTTTTGAGCACTGAAAAATTTAACATATGAAGAAAAATAAAACAGTCTTGAAGTAGTTCCCAACAAACAGGCAAGTTATATTTAATGATTTCTTTTGTTCAGTTGTTTTTGACTAGTTCTTTTTTTGTTTGTGGTACTAGGGTTTGAACTCAGGGCCTTATACTTGCTAGGTAGGCTCTCTACTACTTGAGCCAGCCTTTGATTGCTTCTTATCTAAGAAAAGATTGCAAGTACCAAGAAAGAATAAATAGAAATAGCTTCAAAGATGTTTATGATCTTTTGGGGAAGACAGAACACATTTTTTATTTTTTAATTTTAATTATAATATATGTAATACAGAATATGTTCACCATCATTTGTCTTAGGAACAAGATTACATGAAAGAAAGAAATGGCCAATAAGCAATGTTTACTTTAAAATATTTACTTAGATATTGAAGAAAATTAAATTAACTTACTTAACTACATATTTTAATTTTTCATCAGTAAGTAAATTAGCATACTTTATCATTGTGATGATTAATATGTATAAAGCATCTGAATAGAATACCCAGCCTATAAGTACAACGGCCAGTGCACAGCAAATGCTTACTAAGGGACATTTCCTCAAAATAGCATTATGTGCTTTACTAAGAGTGTCTATGAGAAAAATATTATTTCCTACTTAGCAAAGACGAAATTAACACATAAAGAGGATAATAATTTACTTAAGATTGTCCTATTAACAAGTGGTGGAGCCATAATACACCACAATATAGCATAAACTAGGTATATTATACTATTTATAGTATTTTAACATTCACTTCCCAAAAATTAATTGTATATAGCTATATGGTAGATATTGTCATTAATAACATTATATTATATAGAGAAAAGCACACAAAATGTGATGAAGATAAGCATACAACCACATATTTGCTTTTCATTTTGACAATACTTAGTCCATGTATTTAATCATATTTATGAGTAACACCTACTTAATAGATTTGGAATCTATGAATATTACCCCTTCTGATAACATGGTCCAGAGAAGACCAAACAAATAATTGGAAAATAATGTGTTTATAAAACCTTGAATTTTTGCACTGTATTATCATTATTATGATGATGATACTAAGTAAAAACATTTCTTACTCATTCTTTCTTGTACTCATTTTTAAAGTTACCCAATGCAATAGACACTAATCAATAATTTGTGGAGGGGAAGGGAAAAAACAAATTGTTTAAATAGGGATACAGGTGGACCCATTGCAACAATGAGATGTACAAGATGTTATGTCGAAAAATGAACTTTACAACTTTGGCACGGGGGTGGGGAAAGGGAGGGGAGATAGGATGGGAAGGGGAAACAAAGGAGGAGGCAACAATGCTTGATAAGAAATGTACTCATTACCTTGTTCATGTAATTGTAACCTCTCTGTATGGTATTTTCACAATTAAAAAAAAAACACTAATCCTAATCCTAGATGGACCCTTGCATTCTAAGTACTAGAAAGGAGACAACTCCATAAACCATTTGCTTCCTTATTGTACAACCATTGAACATTGAGTTTTGAATCAAAGATCCATGATTGCATTTAAACAAAACATTATCAGTTGATTTCATATGCAGTTGGATAATTTTGTATACTTATTTCTGAAGGTCTCAGCCATCTCAACTTTCAGTACAAGTAAAACTGCAAGTCCAATGTTAAGGGTATGTTATTTATTCATTTTAAAAAAAATCTGGAGGTTTTCTCAGTGCCTAATATCAACCAAGTCATGAAGTGATAATTGTTTAGTGTCCCTAGGAGAGTCATACGAACACCTTTCTGTTTCATGTTCTTTTCCATCCGAAAGTTAGCCATGTGGTTGTATATGTGGTGAATTCGATTCTGAAAAGAGATGATACAGTGTCTTCTTGAACGTTTTATCTAATAAAAGAAATATAATAGGATCTGTGCTACTTCTGGCTGAAGCAAGACAAGTGAGGACATTCTTTGCTTCTATTAAATTATTTAACTGCTCACAGTCTTCTCTTTGGTGCAGAACATAAAAAATGGGTTTAAAAAGACTGTATGGAAGAAAGCAAACTATTAATAGGATCTGGATGACCAAAACATGCCTTTTCACAGACCTGTAAGTCAAATCTTTCTCTGTAATGGATGTACAGGTTCTTACTTTTCTCAGGTGACTGACAAAAGAATAATATGATATTAGTACAACTAAAAATGAAAATCCAGTAAATGTAGTTCCAATGAGACCTGCAATCTGAGAGACCATGGCTCCTAGTTCCATCTGCCGATTGTAGCACAGGCTCTCTTCTCCTTCTGTGGCCTCCACAATCGAGTAGTATAGGATAACGGGGGAAATTATGCCCAGTACGATTCCCCATATATAAATGCACAGTTTTCTTGCGAAGTTAGGCTGTCGAAATTTTTTCAGTAAATGACCATAAAATAGTTTCTCATGACAGGAATTGTTCTCTTGCTTGGAATCCTTCTTTATTAAGGTTGCATAGCGGCTTATGGCAATCCAGCTTAAAATTAAAAGACTGACAAACATACTTACATGCATGAATAGAGTCCCCAAAAAATTAACCACTCTGCATTGAAAAGATTGATATTCCCAGTAGAAACCTTTCAGGAAGTAGATACTCATGAAGGGCATGGTGCTGCACACAAGTAAGTTTGCAGTGACAAGATGTACCAGGTAGATGTGTGTTGAAGTTTTCTTGCTTATTTTTGTTAAAAATACCCACTGAGAGAATGAGTTCCCAACAAGACCAACAATACAAAGGAAGATGTAAATGATTGGCAAAGCCATGGAAGAGATCATAGATGGCTGAATGCATGTCGAGTTATTCATTTATATAAGATTTTCTTGGGTATTGTCAAAGTATCTAGAACAGAATTGCAGATAATTAAAAATGACGTGAGGGATAACATTTAAAAAACATGAGATGAAATAAAATAGCAATAAAATATATGAAAGGAAAGGGAACACATAGATGGCTTTTTACCTTATCTAATCACAATTGTTCAGTTCAAATAAAAGCAAAAAAGTACTTATTGAGGTAGATGATGCATTTGTCTTTAAAACAAAATTAGATGCAAATAGTTAAATTTCTTGGATTTTTATCATGTTTAGGTTAGAGGAATTTATATTCCTTAGATTATGAAGCAATGTGTAAAAGTAGATTTTGCCTAGAAATGTAATTTAAAAAAAATAAAGTGTTCCAATTTAAAAAAAAAAAACTTAAAGGGCTGGGAATATGGTTTAGTGGTAGAGTGCTTGCCTAACATGCATGAAGCCCTGAGTTCAATTCTTCAGTACCACATAATCAGAAAAAGCCACAAGTGGCACTGTGGCTTACATGGTAGAGTGCTAGCCCTGAGCGAAAGAATCTCAGGGACAGTGCCCAGGCCCTGAGTTCAAGCCCCTATGCCAAAAAAAAACTTGAAATACTCATAAGCAATATATGCTGATCAAGGAAAATGTTACAAAAGTATTTTGTGGCCACATTAATAGAGAGCTAAAACTGATTTTTAATTCACACATTAATTATATATAGTTTAAAAACTGGTATATTTAATGTCTAGATTAAAACACTTCCCTATAATACTACTGGCAGAGCCCCTTTTTATAGTTCAGAAGTAAATTCAATTCCATCTGAATGGAACAGAAGGTCTTAAATTGAACAAAAAGAAAGCATAGCAAAATCTTAGTTTCATTATCAAAGGGTATCATTTTCAAATTAAAATAGTTAATGCTAAATTCTCATACTTCAATAGAAAATTGAAATGTATTTCTGTAGTTGCTAAGCTTGATGGCTTGAATGTCCTCATATGTAATTTAGTACCCATTGGTGTTTTTTTTTCAGGATTTGTGTGTATTAGTTTAGAGAATATGACATCTTCATCACTGTATAAATCCAAGTGTAGCTATTGCTTTTTTACCTCTTATTTGTAAATCTCGCTGCAGAGCTATATGTAAAAGTGCTAAAGAATCACATACAAATTCCTTTTTATATTTGTCTCCTTGTTTCCTTATTTTTTTTCAGGTGAGAATAACAAAAGAACATTACTAGATTCTGGTCAAACAAGAACCATATTTCTATTTAGAATATGCCACATCTCTCTGTGCTCTTTACCATACTTCTTGGGACACAGCATTCTCTTTTTCATGATCTATAGCAAGGTTTCTCAATATTTAATTACATTCTCTCTTTTGATAAAAAAAAAGAAATTACCATGTACAACCTTCCCATCTCAGAATCTAGCCCCTCAGAGCTATTTTGCTTCTTCAGAATCATGATTTTATTTTTTTCTGCATCCTGAATTATATTAATATTTTATGTCAACTTTTGCAGAAATAGGGATTTTTTCATATAATTATGAAATAATTTTGTGTGTGTGTGCTAGATCTGGGGCTTGAACTCAGCCTGGGCACTGTCCTGGAGCTTTTTTGCTTAAGTCTAGTGCTCCACCTCTTGAGCCACAGCTCCACTTCTGGCCTGTTTTTTTTAATGGGGTGGTTAGTTGGAGATAAGAGTCTTACAGACTTTCTTGCCTAGGCTGGTTTGAAACCATGATGCTTAGATCTCAACCTCCTTTGAGTAGCTAGGATTATAGATGTGAGCCACCAGCACCTGCCTTCAAAATACTTTTTTAAACCAAGCAATGTACATCAAAGACTTTAAAATTTAATTTCTATTCATTGTCTTTAGGTTCAAACATTGAGACCATTCATTATCGTCCAACCCTCTCTCCTTCATTTTATGTATTTGTCATTTTTATTGATTAAATTGTCCCTATAATGAATTTATAACTGGGCAAACTAGTTTTAGGTACTGTAGATGCAGTTTTCAGTATACAAAACCTAACCTGTACCTTCACTAATTTAAAAATCAGTCTAACAGTGATGTGAGCCAGATTATTTAAGAGAAATTCATCTGCTCGAATAATTTTGATTTTGCATTGGGAATGGAGCTTCTTTCTATTGAAGGAAAGCAATAACCCAAGCCTTCTATAGATAATGCATAATATACTAAAAACAGCAGAAGTAATGGTATGTAGTCTGTTGTTCCAAACAAATGAGAAATACAAGACTTTTCAAGGACCTAGCTTTTTCAGACAGATGATGCGTCTGCAGAAAACTCAAGATAACAAATGATCACTAGTGCACCATCTTTAGCTTCTCACATTTTTGTCGACTGTGTACCTCTCCTATAAAGAAAACTTTGATTCTAAAGCTATTAGAAAATTATTTTATAAAATTTGGAAAATACCATTAAATCAAATCAGAATGACATTATAAATATAGAAAATGTTTCAAAGTCTGCATTTCCCTAGCAAAAGGTCTGTGTTCAGTGATTCTTGTATACATTATGCATATACTGCTAATTTGAGAAATGAAAAATGTTCTACAAGTCTAACAGCTGTTAATGGTTACCTACATAGGTAATATGCTGATAGCCTTTCTTAATGATTAGATTTTCTAAATATATAAACAGTTTAGTCTTTCTAGAGTATTTATAGAATTTACTTTTAAGTTAAAAGTGAGTAAATAATCACCCTTACCAGTATGAGTAGTTTATGCCAACTAAGGTTGTACTGTTCAGAGTAGTGATGCAAATTTCAGACTCTCAGTTCTCTGATCTTCAGTCTTCCAGGATTCTGTTAGTTTAAATAGATTCTTGCATGTCTTTAGCTATGGGAGGGGAAAGGGATTTAAAGAGAATATTGAATAAATTCAGTATTCTCCTAAAAAAAAACACTTCATTTCTCTGTTTCTCTAGTCTAGTCTAGTGAGAGGAAGTTACTGAGCAATATACATATACATTATACTTCCTTATTATTATTCCCCGAACACCTACCTCAGTTAGCTTAGTTAGCATGATTGGCTGAAGTTAAGTTCAAAGGTTCAATCCCCCCCCCCTATATAATACAGTGACAGAGAGAACCACTCTACAATAGCCAATAAAATACTGGTACAAATTTACTTGTAAGCTTTTCTGTAAAATCATTTGTGGATGACTTATTTGCAGTCCATCTTCATCAAGTATAAAAAGAAACTAAACTTTTTAAATTTTCTTACTTATAGCAGTTTACTAGAATCAGATGTCACCGAGGTGGATTGGAACGTCATGGTCATTGTGGGCTACTAACTCTTTCTTTTAAAGTTGAAGAACTCACTGTAAGCTCAGGCTGCACCCTGAGTCTTGGTTTCTTTGGTTATATTGAACTAACTCAGTCAACTCTGATTGCCTTGCGCTGCCAGCATTCAGATTCAGTGTAGTCCATTATTCAGATGATTTTATGATAGATTGCGGGGATCTGGGGAAGTGGCAAATATGCCTCAGATCAAATGAATAGTTACAAAGAACTGTGAAAGCAATTTTATGTACAAAATTGTTTAGTCAGTGAACTAGTAGATAAAAGCTAAATGTGAATAGCTGGGCAGCCAGACTTCCCTTCCTTGGGTAAACCAGTAGAGGGATCTGTCAGATAGCACAAATCTAATTGCATCAAGCCTGAGCATTTTGGTTATCATTAAATCATTTTAAATTAACAGAACTACCTTGCCATTTCTCATAACCCCTAGCAACTCAACCTTACTTTATGCTGACTGCATAAAACCTCTCCGATATGTGCTAATATTTCTCTCTAAAACATAAATGAGAACTTCCTGAAGTATCTGGGTTTTGTCTTGCTTACTATGTGTCTTTGCAATATTTTCTGTCATTTAATTATGACTTGTAACTCATGGCATTGCATACATAGCCATTGATTTCAGAGTAATTTGGCTTCTATAATTTCAGTCAGTTTTACTTCGGCATTCTCTTGTTCCAGGAAGAAATTACTTAGCACATTAACAAAAGGTTGACACTGGTGGTATAGCTCAATGGTAGAGTTATATGCTTAGTATTCCTAAGTCCCTATGTTTGATTTCCAACACACACACACGTTTGAAGTAATTTAGAGAAAAACAGAAACGGATACTGTTTCTAGGAGACTAAAAAGTAGTTTTAGTATTACCTGTTGGGGCTTAGCTAAACATCTTCAGTCCAATGTGCTTGATTTCCTCCATTGTTCTCAAATTCAGTAAATAAGGCTCAAAAATTAGGCTCAAAAATTAGAAATCATTCTTGATTTCTCTATTTCTTCCACATCTTATACCCATTCAGTTGCTGCTACTGAAGTTTTTACTGTCACCACCATTTATTTGTCATGTCAGAACTTCCGATATGCCATCCTTTCTGCTATTTCATTTACATTTAAGTCTTATTTAATCTCCACAACACCCTGAGAAGTAATTATCTTCATTTTAAAGTCCAAGAAACCTGAAGCTCAAAAAGATCATGTAAGTTTCCCAAGGCCATATAGCCATCTGTCCTCTCAGCATGCATGCCTCCTCTCAAAGCTAGTATTTGGAAAGAACAACTCCATACCTGCAATGCTTTTGTTTTTGTTTTTTTAATCTAGCATTGGAAGTCATCACTGTCACTTCTGCAAGTTTTGTGTTGGTCACTCAGAGTCAGCCCTGATTCAGTGGGTCGAGGGAAGCCAACTCAGAAATTTGCTTACCACAGATGTTAACAATCAGTGAACCAAAAAATCAGAACTATTGTTAAACCACTTATGGGACAAAAGTATCTAAATGAGATGTAATTTTTGTCAGTTCTTGTTACCAGACTAAAGGTCAGCTTACCAGTGGAAAGCTAATACTCAAGAGACAGAAAAAGAAAAAAGAAAAACACAGTGACTCAAGGGCTGGACCCCAAGAAGTTGGAGAAGGAGGCTGTCATCCTCAAAGCTCCTATCATGGGGAAATCAGGTAGATGGAAGGGATTTATAGGGAAAGAAAGCTGTGCAGTGAGTCACTAAGCAAGAAGAATATCTAGCCATCATCCCTACCTGCTTTGGCCAGAACATCCCAGGGGACCTTGATTTCTGGAGCTACTTACAAACATTGCTACATCTCTGCAAGTTTAGTATTTGCAAGTTTATGTGATTTGTGTTAGATACACAGGACTAAAAGAACAAGGAGGCTGTTGCACATCTTCATGTTCTCTGAAGGTCACCAAATATTCTGGGTACTGTAAATCTGAAAAAAGATTCTTCAGCAGTTAACATCTTCATTATTTAGATACCGCTTGGCTTTAGAAATTTTAGAATGCTAGACAAAGGGAGAGGGGAAGCACAAGTGACTGCTGAGGACAAGTCCCAAGAGTGGCCATTGTTTTGAGTTTTATAGGTATATATTTTTCAACAGTGCATTTCACTTAACAATTATTTAGTAGTGTTCCCAGTGTGTTTCTAGTAGCACATGGAATCACAGAAGTGCTCTGCCAACTATAAACTATTAAGGGTCTCTAGAAATCCAGGGGATTCTACAAGCAAGCCAAGAATGTATAGACTAATACTATGATGTGTGGCACAAACTTCAGACACTCTGTGAATAAGAGAAAGAAGAAAAACATGTATCAGAGTGGTCCTAAAAGGCTTAGTGAATGCGAGGGAGAGAGAACACTTGGTGAAAAGTGGCAGAAATTGAGGTTCACAGAGGCTAAGTGGCATGCCTAACAATACTACCAGTGAGTTTGCTTTACTTCTTTCTCTGCTTTGGAAAACAGAAATTGCTGCTTGCCCTTGTAGGCCAACAAGGAACCTAATGACAAAAGTAAACTAGAATCTAGTCCAATTTTGTTCGTTTTTGTTTTCTTTGTGCTGGTACTGGAGCTTGAACTCCAGAGCCTCACACTCTTCCTTAGCTTTTTCCACTTAAGGCTGGCACTCTACCACTTGAACACTTCTACTTTCAGCTTTTTACTGGTTAACTGGACATAAGCATCTCATAGAGTTTCTGCCTTGGCTGTCTGAGATCTTCAGATCTCAGCTACCAGCACCCAATTCCCAGTTTTTGAGTACTTTTAACTTGAGCCAGGTGGAGTTTTCTGTTCTAGATCTGAGAGAGTAGAAACTGTCTATGAAGAGACCATGCCATGTTTTTGTCTGTTGGAAAGCTGTGAACTTCATTAGGCTAATTTTTATGGCTATAATATCAGTATAAATTCTTTGTGATTTAAATGATAGTGACTTCTCTAACTGAAATATAAGGAAATATTATATTTACTTTTTTCTAAGAAGTTAGGAAATGTTTTTGCAACTGGTAGAAAAGCATCAAAATACTAGACTAGCAAAATATTTTTTGTCAGGGAGACTTTTCAAGAGTTATTAATAAAGTATGTTGGAAGATTTTTTGTTAAAAAGGTGGCCCCTTTGGACTTTTCTTATTCAACTCACGAAGAGTTTTCTTTCATTCTCATTCATCTTTCCCATCTTTCTCCTCTTCAAAGTTCCACTTCTTTTGACCAAGTCTAAGTGCTTTTACCTAATTGTTCTAATTGCTTCCTAGGTCATCTGCCAAATATTCATCTTCTATGTCTTCTGCTCTGACCCTTATGATCTATCTCCTTGAAATATTAGTTTCCTCTAATTTCAAGTCTTGTCTTAGGCTAAGTTTTCTTGATACTTGTGTGAGCACCCATTGTGCGGTTTTTTTTTTAATCTGGCCTCAGAATTCCTTTAGCGTGTTCCTGCAAGAGCAGTCCAAAGGGCAAGTATATGATCATTCACTTTGGAAAGACCTAGTGGTCTATATATATATCCTGAAGTGGTCCATGAGAGCTCTTTCATGATTCTCATGAATTCTTGGAGTTAAAATAAGGGTCCCTTGTCAATTAGCCTCAGAACTAGAAACCAGAAGACGCAAGACAACTTAGTCATAACTGAACCTTTGTGTTTCAGTTATAAAGTTATTTTAGGCTGTCCAAGTTGGCATCTAAAATGGCCACAATTGGCCTTTTAAATGTTCCATCTGGCCAATCAGGAGCTCAAGACATTGGGAGGTTGGTGTTCAGGAAGAGAAGATAAGTCTAATTTTGTCTACATTACAATATCACATTCTAAAGATAATGACTTCTCTCAAAGAGGGGCAGTAGTCACCCTCATTCAGTTCAATGCATTCTCAAGCTGATGGTTACCTTTGGAAGTGAGGTGCAGCCTTGTTACTGAAGGATGTGGTTTCTTTAAGGTTCACTGAGCCCCCTGTTCTCTTCAGGATGTGGTGTCTGGCCACAACCCTGTTTCCAGTTGCCCTGCTCTCAGGCCCTTACCTCCTATTACAAGAAGTTGAAGTCATGGGCATCCTACCCTTTCTTTTTTTGCAAGGGGTGGTAGGGGAGGGTCCAGTCGTGGGACCTGAAGCGGTCCCTCAGCTCTTCAGCTCAAGGCTAGCGCTCTACCACTTGAGCCACAGCGCCACTTCCAGCTTTTTTTTTTCTAATGTGGTGCTGAGGAATTGAACCCAGGGCCTCATGCATGCAAGCGCTCTACCACTGAGCCACCTTCCCAGCCCAACCCTACCCTTTTTTATGGCACCCAAAAGGACTTCCATTTATTCCAATGAACTGATTTTTCAGCATGCAATACGAATATCTCAAGAACTACTAAAAACAACAGATAATACGTTCTAAAGATTGGACATTTGTTATGGCACAGAAAAGTTACTAGCCTGTAAGAAACATTCATGACAAAAATTATCTAGGCCTGATATCCCAGTTTCACTTTCCTTCACGGTTGCCTTTTGTCTGTGCTTGTGTATGTATGTGCGCTTACACGTATGCACACACACATGCACTAGTCCTG